GAATCCAATCAATAGATACATCACTGGCGATTAACTTGATGGCATCACCGTAGGGAGTTGATAGGTTGATAATTGCCCAGAATAAACATAAGATTTTATAATCTTTAGGTACATGACTGTGTAAGAGCTCTGTTGGAACAACGGTTTTGGGTAGCATCTGATTCTAGAATCACAGAATCCCTAGTGTGGAAGCAGGCCATGTGGCCCATCAAATCCAATCAGAAATGGGATTTCTGAAGAAGGGTCTAGGCCCGAAACGTCAGCCTTCCTGCTCCTCTGATGCTGCTTGGCCTGCTGTGTTCATCCAGCTCTACATCTGGTTATCTCTGTTATTTCAGGCCGATTCTTTCACCATGCCAACTAAACTCAGCAGCATAATGTCACATGGAGCAAATAGATTTGGATGAGTACATGCATCTCTAATGATGGGAGCCTTGTGAGGGATTACCTATTCATTGAATTTGTCAGTCTGTTGCAAATTATGCCATTCTCCATGGTGGAGGATGGGAATTTTAATCATACCATCTGTAAACGCTTGGTTGTCCTAGCACTTTTCTTGACTTGCTGCAGTATGGCTACACAGTTTTGTTTTTAATCAATAGGCTGTAGTTTTACTTGACTGTGTTCATAGCCTGTTACTTTTAGTATTTTCAGTAGCCAAATGTGCACTTCTTGAGTTTGGTACAGTACCCAATTCCAGGGTAGATCTTGTGCTGTTTCTGTCACTTTGGCTTCAATGATGCAGTGAACTACAATTAGTCTTCTGATTTCTTGGAGTAAAGGATGGGATAAACCACAAATTGAAAGATTCTGAATCATCCATTCTGTTGAAGGTGACAATGAACCTCATACTTTTCTAGATTTGAGTTTCCGGCTCTGTTTTTACTTGTTTTCTCTTAGCACAGTGGTAAATCAATTTACATAAAATACGAATTTAAAATTAGTTTAACTTAAAATTATTAAAATTTATCCCTACTTTCCTAAGGAGTTATCAAACAAATACCCAACCGAGTGAATTCCGAATTTCAAGGTCACGTTTAAATTTGGATTTAAAAATAGGGTGTCAAATCCTCTACATTTAAAGCTTAGCAGAAAAGTCTTAACTTTATAAAATGCGAAACCATGAATAATCGAGCCTATTACCAATATTTAAATTCGATACTAGCAGGCACCAATAGTATGACAAGTAATTTTACTAAATTAAATCTCATTTTAATCTAGGGAAACTTAAACGGAGCATTAGAAGCTATAGAACATTTAACAATGTGCTAACGAACTGAACTAAACTCTCTCTCCATCACCTTAAGACCAAGCTGAACCGGCGCCGCCATCTTCCTTCTCCTGGTGTAGGTCAACCCAAGGCCTTGCCGTCGCCGGAGGAAGACTTTCTACGCACGCGTGGCTGTTACCTCTAGGGACATGTAGGCAATTGCGGGGGACATACGCGCGGAGGGCGCATCTATGCAAGGTAAGGACTACAACTCCCGGCGTCCACTGCGGAGAAAGGCGGCAAGCGGATTGGTGAATGACTCTCGAGAGGAGCAACCTGGTCTGCCCGTATTTCCACAGAACGGATTACACGATTGGGAGGAAGTTGATAGCTCGGAGGTGGAGAATTTTCTAGAACAGAATTTGCTATTAGCATTAAAGGGAGGTGCTTTTTTAAAAAAAATGCTCGGTAATTATAGACAGGGAATTTTTCTTGTGGAGCTTAAAAATGTGTTTTGCATGTATAGAAAGATCCGAATTATGCTTTTCCCCATTCTGTAAGAAGTCTAATACCTTTAAATCGGAGTTTCCCATCAACGTTAGTAAGGCCCCGGACTGAATCAGAACAATTTCCTGTAGTTCAGCTCTTATTTCCTCTCTCATTTCTGCGCTCCCCCCGAAAAGAAACTACCATCACCACCAAATTCCTAATTAAATAAAAACAGTTTAGACAGAATCCATGAAGAGAAGGTTGAGGGAGATTACACATGTTGCATAAAAGGGAAAGAGCGGGGTAATGGCATAGGAAAGGGAGGTAACGCCTGTTAGAACAGTCGAACAGTCAGCTCTGCTGAAAGCAAAACAAAACCTGACCCTAAGGAATTGGAGAAATAAAATGGAGTACAAGAGTTATTTTTTTCTTAAGTTGTTGAACCCAATGTCAAGTCCAGAGGGGTTACGTTGTACCTAAGCAGAAAATGCGATGCTGTTCATCTAGCTTCTGTTGTGACACAGCGACAGGCCTAAGTTAGATGTAGGCTTGAGAGGAAGATGGTGTACTAAAATGGCAAGCAGCTGTGAAGTAAGGGTCATGTTTGCAGACTCAACACAGCTGTTTTGCAATGTGATCATTGTGTTTGGTCTCTCCGATGTAGAGGTGATAACATTGTGAGCAGTTGAATACAGTAGACTAGATAGAAGCAAGTCCACAGTCAATCACAAATTCACGTGAAAGGGGTTAGGATCGCCTATATAAGCAATCTTTCCAGTATTACCTCCTCAAGATTAAAATTTGCTTTTATATTGAACCTTTCACAAAAACACACTTTGTAGCCAATGAAGTTACGTAAAAGATAGGGAAATATTGCAACAAATTTTTACATAACAAAATTTCACAAGTAACAATGAAATATCAGTGCAGCACTTCATAGTATTACAGGGAAGTGTAACCTAGCTTTCTAAATTCGATGCTTGAGCCTGGGACAGAGTTAAACCCATAACCATTGACTCTGAGTCAAGATTACTCTCAACTAAGGCTGCTAGCTGTTGTGATGGGATAAGTTGCACAAGTGCAAAGGTAGACAAGCAAAATTAGTGTTTTTAATGGGGTACTTTAACTTTCATATATATTGGGTTAAGTAGACTAGGATATGTAGTGAATTTCTTGTTAGATTTCTGCAGCAGTATGTTAGAGAACCAACAAGAGGTTTTGCCACGTTAAGTTTAGCATTAAGTAATGAACCAGATTAGTGAACATTTATTTAATAGCACTCCAATATATTCCACTTAACTTTTGAAAGGGTGAAACACAAAAAAAGTACTAAGATTCTGGTAAGTCTGACTTCAAAGAGATGAGACAGAGACAATCCACAGTAAACTGAGCAATTTTTGTAATGGGTAAAATGACAGTTGATCAACAAGAAGTGGTCGAAAACAATGTATTGCAATACAGAACCAGTTTATAACCCAAGGAGACAATAAGTACTTTCTGGGGAAAAAAAGACAACTAAAGAGGTAAGAGTCTGCATAAAACTGTAAATATGAAGGAGCACAGATTCTGGAAGGTGCAGTAAGCGGAGCTCAATAACCAAAAGTGTGCAGAAGGAGATGTAATTATGAAAGATGTTGCAGAAAGTCATGGTTAAATTTAAAAAGTACAGTGTGGAAACCAAACATTTTCCAAATAATATATGCTTTGTGTGATTAAAGTCAAGAGAATTTGTTAGGTAAGGATATCAAGCAATATGTCTGTCTTCCAATTGAATGTCCTCAATTCCATTCCTCAGTACCAGCTTGGTTGATCTTGGAGGAAAGTTGGAAAAGCCATTCAACAGCTAGAAAACAGCAATACTCCTGGAGCAGATAGGACCCTTGCTGAAATTCTGACGCAATATTCCAGACACAGTCTAGCAACTATATCAATTAGGGTCTGACCAGCTTGATCTGTAGTACTTCTGCCGAGCCACTCTAGGTGGTATACATTAAGTCCCCCACCCAGAATACATTTAGTGCTGTTGCCACCCTTAGTGCTTCCTCCAAGCGCTGTTCAACATGGAGGTGTACTGATTCATGAGCTGAGGGATGACAGTACCTTGTAATCAGCAGGAGGTTTCCTTACCAATGTTTAACTTGAAGCCATGAGACTTCGTGTGATCTGGAGTCAATGTCAACTCACTCCTGACTGTACACCTTTGTGTCACTACCTCTGCTGGGTCTGCCAGCCTGAGGGCCAGGGATAGTGATGGTGGTGTTTGAAACATAGTGAGATACGATTCTGTGAGTATGAATACGTCAAGTCTGCAATATGGCTCTCCATTTTGGCACTAGCCACCAGATGTTAGTAAGCATGACTTTGTAGGGCCGATGGGCCTTTTCTGCCTTGCCTTTTCAGGTGCCGAGGTTGATTCCAGGTGGTCTATCCAGTTTCATTTCTTTGTTGAGAGTCAACCACATTGCTGTGGGTCTGGATTCACATGTAGGCAGTGACAATCAAAAGGATTTCATGGTTATCAGTAGATTCTTAAGTCCAGATTTTTGTTTTTATTAAATTCAATTTTTAACCATCTGCCATGGCAGGATTCAAACCTGGGTCCCCAGAAAATTAGCTGAGTTTCTGGATTAATAGTCTAGTGATAATGCCACTAGGCCATTGCCTACCTACAGCAGACACCATAAAACAGCAGTGGATGTACCGGGAGTGCCTGTTCAAGATCCTCCAAATCCAGTGGCATAAAGTTCACTTCAAACTTAGGTCCCTGTCCCAAGCTAATGTTCCCATTCTGGTGGCATCTATCTGTCTTAAAGACATTGGTTTGCTCAGTGGCGGTCAACACTTTGTTAAGCATCTTTTAACGTGACCCAGGAGCCTCACTATAACATGGAAGTCCCTTCTGCATTTGCTATAAAGGAAGATAGTGGGTTGAGAATCTACACAATGTGCTGACTTCCTTCTCTGGACCATCATTGTGGCCTGCTGAGCTTTAAGTTTCAGCTTGCCTCTTCCAATGCCCTTCCAAACAATCAGCTTCAGTTGTCAGTGTCAACGTTTACCCTGTTTTCACATCTCTCTCGCATGTGCCTTTGTTGTGGGGGTCTGGATGTTCAGGAGTTGTGACCCAGTGACTAATTCACTCTAGAATGCTTTTGGGTATACAGCTGTCATATATCTGATGAATGTGGCCAAGTCAGCACAGCGAACAAAAGATAAATAAAGTATGTGTTTGTATTTGCTTCAGAGTTGGTGACCTTGATCAGTCAACAGGCTCCAAAGATATCCTGAGAAAGCAAAGGTGGAAGCAGTTCATCCTTTCTCCTGTCTAGCATGTGTTGTCCAGGTCTCACCACAGTAGAGGAGTATGCAGAGAACGTCGGCTTGGTTAGTTTGCAGTTTGCTGCTGCTGTACACACATTTACTCATTTTGTACATAACACCTGCAGCTTTTGTGGTGCCTGTGTTCATTTCAGCATCAAATGATATTGCTGTTCATTGTGGAGTCTAGATATGTGAAACTATCAACACTTCCAGCATTAAATTGTCAATGCTGATAGATACTGGTCTGGTAATATCCTGGACCACGAAATTTGCCTTCCCGATGTTGACAATCAAACAAAACTCTTTACAGGCATGAAAGAGTCTTTCTATTTGCTGCTGCAGATATTCCTCTATATTAAATGTTAGTACAGCATCTTCAGCATTGGGCAAATCTCAGATGAGGACCCAATGCACCTTTGCCTTGGATCTCTGATGCCAAGGCTGAGCAGCTTTCCATCAGTTCTGCCATGTAAATACAGAGTCTCTTTCAGTGGCCTGAAGGCATATTGTGTCAGCAAAGAGAATATGGCAAAGCATGTTGATGATAGAACACAAATCTGTTTGACCCCACTGTGGATCTCAAAGGGTCCATTTTTGCTCTGTCACAGCAGATCTTACCAATCATGTTGTCATGGAAAGAAGTGATCACATTGAGCAGCTTCACTTTTATTCAGTAGCTTAAATAGTCTTCCTGTGCTCACATGATCAAATGCCTTAGCGAGATAGATGATAGTGCTGTCCTTTACTCACAGCATTTCTCTTGCAACTGCTAGATTGAGAAGATCATATCAATTGTATGCAGTTTTGAAACTCATCTGCAATTTGATATTGACATATTCAGCCAAGAACTGCAATCTGAAAAGGGCAATATGGGCAAATACTTTTCCCATGATACTTGGCAAGGCAATGCTTCAATAGTTGCCATCATTGCGGTCACCCTTGTTCATGTAAAACACTGGTCTCCAAAGAAAGTGCAGAGGTTCTATCATAGGGTAGTGAGTTCTTGAAAGCAAGGCCTACACCCTGCTTATGCAGTTCCTCTGAACTCATCTTCTGTCAAACAAACATCTAATATTTCTCCTTCATTGAACCTTTTAATCAGCTTTATGTAAGTATATAGTCAATGTTCAATGTATTTCCTCACTGGGGTAGCATGTTCATAGAGTCATAGGGTCCTACAGAACGGAGACAGGCCCTTCAGCCCAAACTGGTCCCGCTGACCAAAATGTCCATCCATGCTAACCACATTTCCCTGCACTTGGCTTATATCCTTCTAAACCTTTCCTATCTATGTATTCGTCCAAATGCCTTTTAAATGTTGTTAATCTTCCCGCCTCAACCACTTCTGCTGGCAGCTCATTGCATATGTGTACCACCCTCTGTGTAAATAAGTTGCCACTCAGGTTCCCATATATTTCTTTCCCCTTTTACCCTAAACTGATGCCCTCCAGTTCTCGATTCCCCAACCTTTGGGAAAAGACTGAGTGCATTCACTCTATCCATGCCTCTCATGATCTTATATACTTCTATAAGATCCCCCCCAGTCTCCTAAGCTCTAAAGAGAAAGGTCGTAGCTTGCCAACCTCTCCCTATAACTCAGTCCCTTGAGTCCTGGCAACATCCTTATAAGTTTCTTCTGCACTCTGTGGCTGTTGACTTGCTCGCTAAGCTGGTAGGTTTGTTCGCAAATGTTTCGTCACCATGCTAGGTAACATCAGCAGTGAGCCTTTGGTCAGTGTTCTGCTGGGGTCGGTGCCATCACTTCTGGATTTATTTCTTAGTGTTTGGCATATGGGGCCTGGCTCTACATGTTTGTTAATGGAGTTCCGGTTTGAGTGCCAGGCCACCAGGAATTCTCATGCATCTTTTTGCTTAGCTTGGCCTAGGATGGCTATGTTGTCCCAGTTGAATTGGTGTCCGCTTTGTGCATGTGTATTGAAATGAGTGCTAGTTGGTCATGTCTCTTGTAGCTAGTTGGTGTTCATGAATCCCGATGGCTAGTTTCCTTCCGGTTTGCCCTATGTAATGTTTTTGGCAGTCTTTGCATGGTTATCTTGTAAATAACGTTGGTTCTGTTAGTTGTGATTGACGGATCCTTTATTCCATTCAGTAGCTGTCATAGTGTAGCTGTTGGTTTGTGGCCTAGAATGATTCTTAGGGGGCAGAGTAATCTGGTGGTCATTTCAGTTATGTCCTTAATGTATGGTAGGGTGACTGTTGTCTCTGCACATGTTGTGTCTTCCTGTTGTGGTCTGTTGTGCAGGTATCAGTGGACGACGCTTTTCGGGTAACGGTTATTTTTAACAACACTGTATAGGCTTTCTTCTTTGGCTTTGCATAGCTCCAGGGTGCTGCAGTGTGTTGTGGCTTGCTTGAACAGTGTTTTGATGCAGTTCCGTTTGTGGATATTGGGATGATTGCTATTGCAGTTGAGTACCTGATCCGTATGGGTGGCCTTCTTGTGTACGCTAGTCTGGAGCTCATTGTTGGCCATACGTTCAACATTGCGTCCAGGAAGGGAAGTCTGTTGTTGTTCTCCTTGTTCCTGGAGAATTTTATGCCAGTGAGGATGTTGTTTATGAGTAGATGGGTTTCTTCCAGTTTAGAGCATTTGATAATAACAAAGATGTCATCCACATAGCGGATCTGTAGGTTTGGTTGAATGGTGGGAAGGGCTGTCCGTTCCAGTCTTTGCATTAGGCTTCTGCTATTAATCCTGATATTGGTGATCCCATGGGTGTTCTGTTGATTTATCCGTATACCTTGCCGTTGAAGGTGAAGTGGATTATGAGGCACAGATCCAGTAATTTGAGGGTGCCATCTTTGCTGATGGTATAGGTGATGTTTGGTGTCAGGCTTGTTTTTGTTCAGACATTTTGCTCCACTGATGATGTCACCTAGTATGGTGACGAAACGTCTGAACAAAAACAAGCCAGCTCGGTGAGCACTCAACAACCTCATCCACAACCTGACCTACAGATCTTTTCCAATACTTTAAACAACTATGGGCGTAACGCGCTAAAAATCGCCAGACAATGGGAAACCTTCGCCAACTGACTGAGCTCTACCCAAGAACAACTTCACTTCCTCCACAAATGCCTCAGGAACCAGGTACTGCCCCGCAGTGTGAAATACAAACCTCCACTCAACAACCCACAGGCATACAAAATAGCTGAACAGAATGGACATAAAATGCTATGAGCAATGATTAATGATGCCCATAACCGACTCCACAGATACGAACGAGAAATTACGTGCCAAAAATCACAGTATCTAAACTCAATGGACCAGCAATAGACTACAACCCTAGAACAGGCCATCACCATCAGTCAACATAAAACCAAAACTAAGAAGAGACACGAACTACAGGAGAAATTCACCAAACTGATCCACCACAAAAACAAGGACAACAACAAACCAGACACATGGATAAGAAACCTATCGAACAGACAACTCACAGAAACTGAGAAATATGACCTATTAAGCGGACTGAACTATAACCACAAAGATACGAACAGAACAGACTTCATGGCCACTCTGGAGAATACATTAAAAGACAACAAACTCACAGATGAAACACAACAAGCCATCCGACAAACTATAATCCCCACACTACACAGAAGGAACAAAGGGGACAACCTGAACACAGCAGAGAGAAAAGCATAGAAAATAGAACATAGAACAGTACAGCACAGTACAGGCCCTTCGGCCAACGATGTTGTGCCAAACTTTTACCCTAATCCTAAGGTCTATCTAACCTCCACCCGTATCTTATACTATCACCCGTATGCCTATCTAACAGCCACTCAAATGCCCCTAATGAGGCCGACTCCACTACCCTGTCCGGCAATGCGTTCCACGCCCTGACCAGTCTCTGAGTAAAGAACCTACCTCTGACGTCTCCCCTATATCTACCTCCACTCACTTTAAGACTATGCCCCCTCGTAATAGCTACCTCCACCCTAGGAAAAAGCCTCTGGCTGTCTACTCTATCTATACTGCTGATCATTTTGTACACCTCTATCAAGTCACCTCTCATCCTTCATCGTTCTAAAGCTCTCTCAACCTTTCCTCGTAAGACATTCCCTCCATTCCAGGCAACACCCTGGTGAATCTCCTCTGCACCTTTTCCAATGCTTCCACATCTTTCCTGTAATGAGGCGACCAGAACTGGACACAATACTCCAGATGTGGCCGAACCAGGCTTTTGTATAGCACTAGTCAAACTCAGGAAAGAAAAGAACACCATAATCCTACCAGCAGACAAAGGGCACATGATCGTCATTATGAACAAACCAGTGCGTTGAGAAAGCACAGACATTGTTTGTAGATACAGCCATTTACCAACAGGTGGCAATAGACCCAACAGCGCAGCTAGGTAATAGGATCACCTGGACACTGAAGCAACTAATGCGTGCAGGGCAGATAACCAATACGGACTTCATGAGACCCCCCAATAGCAACAGAGACTCTGAGGAACAGATCGGAAGACAGATTGTGGAAAGGTGCAGAAGTAATAGGTTTGTTGTCATGGGTAACTTCACCTACCCTAATATAGACTGGAACCTCCTAAGTGCAAATAGTTTGGATGAAGCAGATTTTGTCAGGTGTGTCCAGGAAGGATTTCTGACTCAATATGTAGATAGGCCGACTAGAGGGGGTGCCATATTGGATTTGGTGCTTGGCAACAAACTAGGCCAGGTGTCAGATCTCTCAGTGGGAGAGCATTTCAGTGATAGTGATCACAACTCCCTGACCTTTACTATAGTCATGGAGAGGGATAGGAGCAGACAGCATGGGAAAGTATTTAATTGGAATTACCATGCTATTAGACAAGAATTGCGGAGCATAAATTGGGAACAGATGTTCTCAGGGAAATGCACAACAGAAATGTGGAGGTTGTTTACGGAGCAGTTGCTACAAGTACTGGATAGGTTTGTCCCACTCAGGCAGGGAAGGGATGGTAAGGTGAAGGAACCTTGGATGATAAGACACATCTAGTCAAGAGGAAGAAGGAAGCTTACTTAAGGTTGAGGAAACAAGAATCAGAAAGGGCTCTAGAG